TAGGATCTATATGGCCTTCAGTGTGCCAATAAGGCATGCTGAAACACTTACTTCGCACTTCACTAAGATCTATAGTTAATAACTTCAGATAATAAAGAACATCGAAACATACCTACTGATGACAATGATAAACCAACTTCGAAAAAATCTTCAACTCTGCGAAACTCCTTAACCAACTGATAATGATCATGCGAGAGAATAATACTCTGAATAAGACAAATCTTTGAATTTTGTAATATTATCATGTTATCCTGATCCTTCACTAATAAACGAAATTTCCTGTATTTAAGATCTGAAACTGAAACGACTATCTAATGGAAAATCAAAAATACAGGACTAACCCAGGGCCTACTGGAACGCATTACTTCCTCAGTTATATTTACAATATTTTGTGTAATTTGAAACTTTTCATGTCGCTTATTTACGATTTGCTGCAAATGTTGATGAGGTTTGCGCCAAGCATTAAAAAAAACATAATATTATTTTCATATGGAAACATAGACAATTCATTTAATGAGTCAAAGCGTCTCACGTCATCTATGAGATGTAAAAGACAATGAATAATATAAAGAAATTCTGAAAGAAATTCTGAACCATATATATCTTCTGCTCTATTCACAAAAATGTTTAATGCTTTGTGCAAAATCAAGTCTTCCAATAAGGAAGAACTCAAATGGCGGAATGTAATAAAAGAAAATGTTTGTACACAACAGGTTTTACGAATCCGTAATAAATAACTGGGACAGTATACAGAAGAAGTTGATGATTTTCCGTGGCCTTAAATCCTTTATATTTTTTCATTAATTGCGATTTCCGTGAAAATTCCTTAGGACAGTAATTTTTAACTTGCTGCAACGTTTCGTCATAATTTCAAGTGATCTGACTGAAAATTTTAAATTTGGATTACATTTACCATCGACAAGAACGCTACTTATTTTGGAAAACCAAGACAAACTGTATGCATGTAGTCGAAAACCGTTTGAATTACCAACCCCATCCCTAAAGGAAGCAAAACAGAATCAAAATCTGTATGATGTTCTCTATGTGATGTTTGTACTCTTCATTTGTACGGGGCCTATTTTAAATACTACTCCACGACGAAGCCAACTTCCTCGAATCCAACATTTCGAACATGGAAATAGACTACCGACCTTTATGATCTAAAACAAAAGCCCGCGCAGGAGAATCAGCTATAAAACACCTCGATTTAATTAGTTTTTGTTGATTATGAAAAATAATTCCTCCACAATTTAATACATCTCGAACTTCATCCACAAAAGATTGAAATAATTCCTTCGCGTTAGTTGGTTTCGATGAACCTCGCCAAATGCCTACGATTGTAGGTTTACTTTGAGGAATATTTGCAATCCTTGTAATTTGTATCGGCCACATTTGAATTTTGTCCTATCTATCCAGTGTGGCACCATCAGTACCAAAGTCTACCATCAAAGTATCAAGTAGAATTAGTTCTGGAGAGGTTTGTTGAAGAATGGAAAGAATTCCTGCCTCAAATCCTAAGTGGAGATATTCATCTCCTGTAATGTTAAGTATGGGATGCACGATCCGTGAAGTTTTTAAAAACGTTCTACAATTCTTTGGCAACGTGAATAAACAAGAATGTATTCGAATAATCTGTAAAAGAGCATTTATTTGCGTATGAGACATTACTGCGTACGAAAAGTTTCAGCAAATTGCAAGCATTGCTGGATATAAACTCTGCGCAAACTGAAAAG